AGAATGTATGTATAAATAATAATTGTATATAGAGTTTTGTAACTAAAATTATAGCGTGAGCTTATCCAAGTTAGTAATAGGTTCGTCACAACATTATTTGCATTTAACTCCTATGATGTTCTGTTGGGTAGGGTTTATAAAGTCAAAAAGTGCTATAGAGTTAGATGGAGCCAAGATGTTACTAGATAAGAGCTTCCAAGGTTTTCAGAATGGATTAGTTATATTAGACTCGTCGTTATAATATGGGTGGCCATTCTTAATTCCACTGGGGTATTGTGTTTAAGAAGTGGAAGATCGGTGAATGTTCTAATATAGAATATCTGCCTGGCTGGCCAAATTTAATCACTCCTTAGAAAAAAATAACAAAAAACAAACTCAGTGGTGTTTCGAAATTAAACCGAACATATGACATTAAATCTACTACCTAAGAATCTAATGGGAGTTTAGAAATGCATATCAGTACATCCACCGCAGATAGCTTGATTCTGATGCTGAAGTCTTTAAGTTGCTCGATATAACCAATGATGCAAGGCGTTGGATTTTCTGGTGATGTAATATAGGTGTAAAGAGGATTTATGATCCTATGAATATGGTATAGCAACATGATTCTGTAATTACCCTATGTAAATAATGAAACATAAATTGATTACAGCACAATTTCAAGCAAATAATGGATAAATTTATTGTATTTTTACGAAATTATTCAAGCTTAAAGATTGTTTAGACGTAGAGTGTGGGCCAAAGGAATATTTAGTTTTGAATTTTTAATAACTTCTTTTTGAGTATCTGTACTACTACATTTGCATAAAACCAATAAATGTGTACATAGGTGTTAGACATTCTAAAGCTGAAATTCATAATTAATATCATGAGAAATAATCCAGATTTTTAGCTGTTATTGGAAAGACTATGAGATACCCGTTACTCCGTATACCATTGATAAGAGCTGCTTTGCCTCCCGGTGGTTTAGTGGTAAAAATCGCGTTTCGATATCCCAGGTGGGCAGAGCACAGATAGCCCATTCTGTAGCTTTGTTCTTCATAAGAAACAAACAAAAGATATTTTTATGTAGAAATTTTGAAACACTATTACCATAAAAGTTTGAGAAATGTGTTAATAACGTACAATTTTGAGCCAAAAGATTTGTAAGTGTAAACTAATTGAAAAAATATCGTTACTAATTTATGATGTTTTAAATGAAAAACCTCTGGTAAAAATAAATGTCTATAAAAATAGGAGATAAAAACATATTCAAATATTCAGTAGTTATAATACCCTAAACTGCCCAATATCTAGAAACTTGTGTATACGAGTTTTTATTTGTTATGGAAAGAAGATTGAGGAGTGAAACAGTTAAAACCGAAACTTTAAAGGTCGTGAAGCATATAGGTTTATAATATGATAAGTTTTTCTGTGTCTAGAGGAAACAAAATTTAGTCATGTAAAAGATAAACATTCGTTTTATCTTTCTTTTTGTACTATTAAACTGACGTCTTTTATAGATACGTTTCATGAAGCTATCGACGACAGTCTTGAAAAATCGTACTTGAAATAATTCTCAAACGTATATTAAAATATTTTTCTTAGGAAAATATTTTAAATTACATTTCATTACTTTAACTTCTATTAGTGGTATCGTCAAATTGCTAAACTTTCTATAACTAATCATATTATTTCTTAACCATAAACATTTTTGAAAAAAATAAAAACTATCTAGCGAGTACAACATTTTACTAGATTTGATCCGTTGACTTTATAAGTTCTAGTTCTAGATTGGATTTTAATACATTTTCTTCATAACATTACTTATAACTTTCACGAAAATATTGTGCCGTAATTAGTTCTCAGTATTCAGTTTTGTTGTATAAATATAGGAACTCCTACAGATCTTCTTTAACAATCAGGGCATAGGTAAATAAAACGTTCCAGATTAAGTAAAATTATCTATATATTAGCTTTAAACTATCTGTTATAGATCAAAAGTTAATGATAAGAACTGAAATTGTCTTCAAAAGAACGCTATTACTTTCTCAGTGGTATAAAGAGACGCTTTAACTAGGCTAAATAAAACCAATTATTCTTATGGAGCGGAAATATAAATTAGGAATGTTTTATAGCTATCAACTCTTAAAACCGCACGATACTAATAATAGTGAGAATCAATTGAGTTATGATGGAAGAAGGGATGCATTTTCAAAGCGTAATTTAATCATTTCAAGAACACAGGCAAACAGGGAGGTATAAAGAAGAAAGTAAATATTATTTGGAAAATACATATCTGTGATTTATGATAAAAGTGTTACTCGCACGAGAGAATTATTCTATTTGTTAATATATCTTGGAAATGTATAAGACTAGGACAGCAGAATTGCTAACTGTATGCGTGATATCAATTTACATAAACAACAAGTTAATTTTTTGTTTAAATTATTCACGCAAAGCTACACAAGGATTAACTGATAGACTAGAGGGAAGAGTCTAATCAACACCATCCTCTTGGACTACGGTAAACAAACAGCAAATGTGGAGAGCGGGCTTATGGTAACGGGACTCGAACCATGGACTTCGAATTTACGGCCCATCATGCTAACACTAGATGATGCCCGGATGGCTTCACCGTATTTGAATTTTTTCTTTAAGTTGAATTCAGGTGAATTGTTCTATGTTACTGGATCGGTAACAAAAATACATATTATAATTTAAACTGTAATTGGTTTTTCAACGACAATTTTATATTGTTTTATTTTTATATTAGTGGCTTTATTATTTGAGTTTTTTTTACCTATTAATTAATTTCTGTTTTTAATGTTTGCTGAGCGAAAAGTTTTATATATGAAAGGCACTGCCGCTAGATGTCCCTATGATCATGTAGGCTATGTTTTTTGGATGTTTGGTCTTGAAGCTCACTTACGTCTCACTTTAAACAAAGTAAGTGAACGTTGTAGTTTATTTGATATTTTCTCAAACTGTTTATATTTGATTATTACTTTAAATTACTTTTGTCAGTTTTTTGATCTTGTTTGTTTTAGCGCAAAGCCACACAACAAGCTAGCTATCTGCGTTCTGTTTACTAAGGGGAATCAAATCCCAGATTTGAGCGTTTCAAATCCTAAACTTAACGTTGACCCACTGGGAAAAAGCCATGGTGAAAAATAGTGCAACCTGAAAAGCAACGAACAAAGTTATGTTTTTAAGCGGATACAGTTATGATTTTATTTGTTATTGAATGTTTAATTATTGAGAAATCTTTCCGGACAAGACTTAAAATTATCTGAATTATGTATATATATGTGTGTGTGTAGCCATGACAAAAACCAGAGTATCAGAACAGTTAGGTTAAGAGTTCTCCTAGAAAGAGATAATACAGAATTTTTGAGGTAATCTTTACATGACTTCGAATTTCTTATCTGTTTTCACAAAGCAGCATCCTTCTGTTTATCTGTTTCTACATCTATCTATCTGTCTGCCTGCTAGCATTTCTGTTCATCCGTTTGGCTGATTGTATTTCTTATAACATTTTCATTACTCCTGTACAGTACTTGTATCTTCATACTATGAAAACATGATAAATCTTCAATATTTGGTTTGTTTTTGTATTAGAAATATATTTGTACTGTTTTAACACAAGGCTTATTATTTTAATTGCAGTTTTGTTTAATTAACTGACAGTTTTTCTCTGTGGGTTACTTTATACAAATGTACGTAGAAAGAACAGTTGAATGTTAAAAATTGAGAGGTATGAAGATGTTTTCTGCATTGTTTATATATATATCATGAATAATGGTCCTATTTGTTTCAAGTTTCTCCTAACCCATTGGCGAGTCTCAGGACTTATAATGCTAAACATTGGGTTTCGATACTCGCTATGGGCAGAACGCACATAACCAGTTGTATAGCTTTGTGCTTAAGTACGAACAAACACAAGTTGTCTTAAGTTTCAACGATTTAAGAACATCATACTAAAATACTCAAATTCTGAGTGACAGTGCAAAAAGTTGCAAAATATGTCTGAAAATATTTATTAACTCTTAAGACATGTGAAATGTCCATATTTACTTAATCTATAGATACGCGTGACTACTAAGTTATATCAGATAAACATCAATGTCACTTATCATGGAAGGACTATCTCAGCAACGATTTTTTCATATGGTTTATTTTTGCAGAGATTTTGTGAAATTTTATTGCATTTGAAAAGTGTTTAGCTGTCTTTCAGACATTTAAAACGTGGCCATCATGATAATATTAGTATATAGTGAAAGTGTAAAAATACAAAGGCATTAGTTTCTTGGAAATTTTTTGTCATCTGGTTTGTAACTTTCGGAATAAAATAACTGAATAAATTCCATACATACGAATATATATGTACAGTTGATTTTTTGAATAAGATTTTATTACTCAAGTTTAAGGGTAACACATACCACTACAAAATTCTTAGGTGATAACAATAACAAAAGTGAATAATAATTCTTCTTCTGTTTCCTAGAAATCGTAAAACCTTGTTGGAGTAGCTTACAGTTTCGTGTTCTTCGAAAGAAAAACAACGTAAGAAAATATATTAAAGTTATCATGAGAAGTATTTGCCTTCATTATTTTTCTGTTTGTCTGTTTGTTGTTAATCACAAAGCTGCACAAAGGGCTTTAAGCGTTGTCCCTCCATGGATCGAACTCTGAATTGTAGCGTTACAAGCTTTCATGCCTACCACTGAGTATCTTCCAAGCGTTTTATTAGCATAATGAGTAAGGTTTTTGATATATTTTGATGTATGACCGTTTGTTTTTATATCTAAAATATTGGGAAATACAAGAATTCTGGTGTTTATTATTTAAGTCATTCTTTCTCGTTGTTTTTTTCCCATAAAAAGTAGGCGGCGCTTTATATCTTCATATAAGAGTGAATACTTGAAAACAACGACTTTATATACATAATACTTTCAAATGCATTACAAGTTATAAAAAAAAGTGGGAATGAATAATTTATAAAGCACTGTGTTACTTACCTTCGATTACTGAGAGCAACAGAATAAAACTTAGAGTCAGAACAAGCTGTGAAAGGGGGCGGGTTGGTTTCCTCCCTGATAGTAAGAAAGTCATTTGTTTGTTCTTCATTTCCACCGTAGATATTTAACTTTGACTAGTTCATAGAGCAGTGAAATAATGTAAGTAGAAATTACAGTTATGAACTGAATTTTCATTTCACTATCCCATTTTTGCGTGAACAAATTAATAAAGTATATACATATCTATATATATTAATTCAGAAAAATACAGACTATTATTTGGTCTTTAAAATACTCGCTTTTTACGAAGTGAAATTTCAGTCACAACGGTTTCCCCACAAGAGAGCGCGGACCGAGATGATGAGGAAGCAGACTTGTTTCACGGCCACAGTTTGAGTGGAATTACTGGAGAACCAAACAGCTAACGACTTATCCGTGAAGCGGCGGCGCTACTATCAAATCAACATATAAAAATCCTTATAGTCGTTTCTACATATTTATTTATGCTTGTGGTGAGTACATCTACAAAACGTTATTAGAACAATGGCTGCTTTAAACGTGATATCCGTATGTTTTATTAGCAGAGTAGCAGAATAATCTTTGTAGAAAAATAATGAACAAGCTTGATGATTATAGAAGTTTTGACGCCTTTACTGCTGCTGTGCAAGTTATACAATGCTATAAATCTAATTTTCATGTTTATATATGTATCATATCGTATATTACCAGTTTGTTTTGTTCCATGCATAATACCATTTGTTCTATAAGTAATACCAAATTTTGAAAGTCAACTTGGTCTTTAATCCCCGTCACACCAAACATGGCGTGGGGGCGTTATAATGTGACGGTCAATCCCACTATTCGTTGGTCAAAGAGTAGCCCAAGAGTTGACGGTGGGTTTTGATGACTAGCTGCCTTCCCTCTAGTCTTACACTGCTAAATTAGGGACGGCTAGCTCAGATAGCCCTCGTGTAGCTTTGCGCGAAATTCAAAAACAAACAAACTTGGTCTTTATTAGACAGATAGGAGCTTGTCTTATGTTTAGATAGAAATTATTTTGTTATATACCCAGTACTAGTCCCTGTACTTTTCATTGCTATCAATTTATAGTCACGAAAGTAAAAAATTAAAAATGCTGTTCAAAAATAAATAAAAGAAAGTGAAATTATATGCGATGTAATAACAAGAGCATTTAGCCATATAGTTAAATGTAATAATGACACATGTGTTTTTCTGTATCGATATAGAAGCAAATACACCAAACATGAGTTGTAGTAAAACTTTAACAACTGAGTTTGATAAAAAAACAAAGAAACGAAAATATAAATTGAAACTTTAAATTACATCTTTCACAAAAGTTGTACTTTGGAGATGATATTATTTTTAGAAAAAAAGATGATGCATAATTTGCCTTTGTCATTGCACGAACAACTGCCATAAACCGTTCGTAACGTAACGTACGATAATTTGCTGATATATTTAACCTTGATAATTTAGTTTAGAAAGAACATTCAGCCAATATGTATATCTAATCAAATGAAATTCAAATCAAGAAACCAATCTAAGTAAACGACGTACATTTATACGGTAGATAACTTGTTAGTTTTGAATATAATATCTGAAATTGCTGGTTGTTGAACAAGAAGATAATGTAGTGATATAGCATAAATATATAACAGCAGAAAAAAATAACTCGCTGTCTCTTTCAGTAATTGCAATAACATAGAAATCAAGCTTATTCAAAGCTGCAATTACATGACTCTGATTAGATTTCCAAACATCAGGATATGTTTGTTTTTTATGTGGGGATAGGGGGGTTATATATATATATATATATATATATATATATATATATATATA